ACTTAGCTGGCACATAAAAATATAAAAAGTGTACATGTTAATGCGGTGGTGATTTTAGATTTCAGTATACATATACTTTGTGTAATATTTAAATCGGGATAAACATATCAATCTCTTCTAATATTTATTACTCTTTTCCTGGTGAAAATATCCAGAATCCTAGTCTACCTTTTTGCAGTGCATAGAACATAATTACTAAGTCTAGTCACCCTCCTGTACAACAGCACCTAGAAATTCTTGTTTCTGTTGACTCTGCCTTAGCACCCAGTGACCAACATTTCCCCTCTCTCCTTCCTACTCTCGCTGGCCTCTGGTAACCACCATTCCACTCTCAGCTTCTACAGGTCATTGTTAATGTTCCTATGCCTGAGGTCATGTGATAGTTGCCTTCTGTGCTTGGTGTAGTTTCTAAAATAAAACCAGAGGCTACGGATTGGGTCCAGGCTTGGTCCATTCTTTGCTGCGGGTCCCTTATGCTGCTCTGGATGTTTCATGCCCTCAGAAAGATGGGGTGGGGGGGATGCTGTCCAAGTGGGAAACGTCCTCCAGCTAGAGCCTCTGACGTGGGCCATAGCCTGAGAGTCTGACCTGCCTTCTGGGCTCTTTACCCTTGTAGCCCTACTTCCTGAGGCACCTTGGACTCGGCTGTTCCTTGACCCCCAACCTGCCACTCCTGTGCCTCCTGCTTTTGGAAGGGTTGCTCATTCTGTGAAGGCCACATTGGGTACTGGCTCTGGTGAGCCCCTCAAGCCCAGTGAGTGGGAGCCTTTTCTCTGTGCTCCCAAGGCTGGATGGTTTGGTTTCTGATTGTCATTTAACATTCTGCTCATGGACCAAGGCTTTGATGCATGAAGAAAAGGGTTTCTTTCGTGCCTGCTGAGGCTTAGGAAGGAGATGCACGAGGGACTGAGGGGAGGGAGGTGAGGCCCTGCGGAGCTAGGTGCTCTGCTCCAGGAAGTGGCAGGCAGCACCCTAACGTGAGAAGCCGGTCCCGAGGTCCCTCTGCTCTGTCCCTGGGTGCTGACAGCTTGTGCCTTTAGGCTCTTCCTGTTGTCACAGTCTTCTCAGGGGATACAGGAAGGGGAATCTCAGTGGAGTCCCAGGGAATGTTGGTGGCATTTACTGCAGCAGGACAAGTGGCAAAACTGTGTGTCACTGAGTAAAAACGAGCTGCAGGTAGTGTGTGGCTGTCCAGGAGAAGGGACCTGATTCCTGAGGGTGTGGCTCTGGGGGGACGAGAGTTTACCAAGGCGATGCTGTAGCATGTGCCATAGGCATGTGTGATGAGGCCTCAGGCCTAGGAGACAGGGACAGGCCCTGGAGGGAGTCCCCAGATGGTGAGCAGAGGTGAGGAGTCCCACATCCTGTGCCTGGACCCTGGCTGGAAGTCTGCTCTATTTTATCACAGGGAGGTGTTGGGCTGTATCTGTGTTCATCCAACAGAAGCATTTGCACCATCTGGGACTAACAGCCTTAAACATAAACTTAGCTACCTGTATGTTGAGAGTGGCCCCATACTGGACAGTACAGCCCTGGACTGCAGTCACATGTGATTAGATGCCCACCTTATCCTTTCTTCAAGGAGCCTAGAGCTGTGCCCCACAGAGATGCTTATTGACCTGAAGTTCCTGAAAAGGATGCTAAGCCCCTTGATCATTCGCTGACTTTGAGCTCCCTTTACACAGCTGATGGGGGTGGCGGACGTTTCTTGGCTCTTTTCTAGCTGTGGACTGAGGCATGTAGTTGGAGAAAAAGAATTTGATCTCTGAGTTTGGCCAACTCTGCATTGGTGGGCCGGCTCACAATGGGCTTCAAGGCTCGAAGGACACAGTTCTGGGTTTAAGCTCCTTGCCAGTACTGGGCTGGGCCTCTGAAGTCTGTGGGAGACTTCACAAAGGAACTTGGCTGTAGAAGCCAGGGAGATCCAGAGCTTGCCACTTGTCTCTGGGCTCTGCTGTCAAAGTTATTTTCCCACCCTTAAACTCTTCCCCATACCAGCGAGTGGGGAGCCTGCTGAGCTCTTTCCCTCCACACCTTGTGATATGATGCCTCTGAGTTCTGTAAAATGCCCTTGGTGAGGTCTCAATGCGGGGCCTCAGCCATGCTATAAACCAGATACCGCCTCTTAGGGTGAAGAAGCCCTGATGATGAAGACTTATATGTGTGCCGCTCTTGTGTGTGCCGAGAACCGTCACTCCCACCATTACCAGGAAGCCATTTTACAGGAGAGGAAACTGAGGCACAGATGCATCACCCAAGACCAAGCTAGGAGCATAGCAGAGTAGAAGCTGGGAAACAAGAGCACCCAGAGTGCAGGCTGGTTGACACCAGTTTTCTGGAGATGTGGGGTGAGGGGCACAAAAACACTTTAAGGTGTTTTTGCTTTTTTAGGGAGTCTGCACTGTTTGTCTCTGAAGCAGCAGCAAATGTCATGCTTGCACTAGTGAATCCCGAAGAGCAGAATTTCACCACAGGCGGCTCATGTCTTGAAAGTCAGCATTGGCAATAAGACACCAAGGCAGTGATATGTGCAAACCTCCCAGCTAGAGCTGGCTGCTTTTCACAGGACTTTGGGGAGGAACAGCCTGGAAAGACGCCCCACAGAGGCACACAACCACAGAGAAGCAGCAGCCTGTGTGTGCCCCAGGCTCCCTGAGGGGACTTCCACCCAGGGGCTGCCTCCCAGCCCCCATGGTCCAGGGGCAAGTACTCATCCAAATCTGGTTTGGTCATTTTCCTTCTGGGCTTTGTGCCCATCCAAACACAATCTCAGCAGGACCCTTTAGGCTCCTTCCATGAGAAGAAGGTGAAATTCTTTTGAGGGCTCAGAAAATGCAAATAAATAATTCTCTATATTTCTTCAAGCCAAGGTCTGTGTCCCACTTTGGCAGGCCTGTTGTCCAGCTGCTCCTGTAAGAACCCTGGGAGGGAGGGATATGCACACCGTGTGTGTGTGTGTGTGTGTGTGTGTGTGTGTGTGTGTGTGTGTGATGATAGGGAGACTCAGATAAGGGTAAGGCCTCTGTAGAATTCAAGATAAGCTTTGTGGCTGACATTAGGGTGGCCCAGCATTTTTTCGAAAAGATAACACCTTTTGCTGCCAGGTTTCTCCAGTCCTGTCACACTGACGGCATTTATGTCCCAAAGGCAGAGATGACACAGCTTGGGAATTGAAAACAGAGGCTGGAAGATGCCACTCTGAGAGCTGGGAAAATTTCCAAATGCTTCCTCCATAGCTCAGGGATTTAAAAGATCAGGATTCTCTTTGATTTGAACAAAATCATTAGGAAGAAGTTGGACAGTGGAATTCCCGTCACTCTCTGCTACAGTAATAGAATGGTGTTCTCCCTGAGGATGGCAGATGCAAACTTCTCTCCATCCCCTGCACCATGGGCAGAGGCCTCCGGTGCTTGGAAGTCCTTAGGCATTTCAGTCTCTGCCCAAATGCCACACTGCCCATGTGATGCCCACCTTGAGTAGTCCCTGCCCTCCCAGCTGGTGGGGTCAGCGTCAGGTGAGCTCGCATTGACACTGGCTGAAGAAAGTAAGAGGGTAACACCCCGGCCCACCTTGGTTTCCCTCCTTCCTTCATTGAATGGGAGCCATGGGATTTCCCTCCATGCTGCCTGTCACTGTTTTATGCAGAGTTTATGAATGTTCACAGCAGCACTATTCACAACAACCCAAAGAAACAACCCCAATATCCACGAGCTGGTGACTGGGGAAATAAATTGTGGTCCATCTATACCTGAGAATATGACTTAGCCATCACAGGTATGCCATACTGACACATGCGAGAGCCGAGAGAAGCTCGAAGACACCATTTGGGCTGAAATGAGGCAGCCACAAAAGACTATGGTGTGTGGCTCCCTTAATAGATTCAGACCAGATAAATTCATAGAAAGCGAGCAAGAGGGCAAGCAAGAGAAATATCTTTTTATCTGGCACTTCCCAGCTGTAAGCCTCCTGTCCACCAGGGAGCACCCTCAAAAGGAGCCGGCCACCAGTTCTAACAAGAGTCTGTTTCCTGGAACTCTCATTGTTCTGCTGCTTCATTGGCCCCTCTGCCCTCTGGATGATGGCTTTTGCCACCAGAAGCTCTGCTGACAGTTTTTCTCCACAGATAAGAGTATTTCAAGCTTTCTGGGCCGTACTTTTTACAAATCCAAATCCAGCCTGCTGCTTGATTCTATAGAGCTCTCAAGCTAAGTTTTTTTTTTTTCATTCTTAAATTGTTGATTTAAAAAAGAAGAAACCTAATGTGGCATGCGAGAATTAAACGCAATCCTTACTCCAGTACCTATGTGTAAAGTTCTGATGGAGCACAGCCACATTCACTGTGAGGTATCTATGGCTTCTTTTGGACCGCAATGGCTGAGTTGAGTAGTTTTGATAGAAACAATGCCTAAAAAGTTTATCATTGTGTCCTTTAAAATTTTTTGTTGGAAATAAATAGAACACACATGTAAACACTGTATTTTTTCATTTACGTGAGAAGCTGAAAGAAAAAACATGTTGAGATATATACAAAAAGAAAAAAAATTGTTGTTGATGTCTGCTTTAAACAAAGTTAGGAATCAAAATCCCTTGTGACATATTTCACTTCATGACTCAGGTCTTGTGTATCAGCTTATTTTTTATGGCTATCTGTGAGGGGTTTTTTTGGTCTTTTTTTGAGACGGGGTCTTGCTATGCAATTCAGGCCGGCCTTGAGCTCACTCTGTAGCCCAGGCTAGTCTCGAACTTGCAATGATGCTCCCACCTCAGCCTCCTGAGTGTTGGGATTACAGGCGTGAGCCACCACGCCAGGCGAGTTCTTCATGTGCTAAGTGACGATAATAGCACCGTCTTGTGAAGTTATTGTGAGGACGGAATGATTTAGTACACAGCAAGCACTTAGGCCAGAACCTAGAATTACAAGTGTCCAAGGAACTGTGAATTCTAGTTATGCATAGAGTTCTTAATGTATAGCCATGAATTAAAATAAGTACCAAACAAAATGACTTCTTCCCTCTTAATTTATTTTGGGATGTGCTGTAAACAGTTTGAAATGTCCCTTTGACAGCTTTCTGTTTTCACCAGTCTTGGGTGACATGACAAATTCTCCTTCATAGAAGGTACAAGTGAAACAGACCTGGAGGGACATTTTGGATCCTTCCCTCTTCAGAAAGTGGGATAGCTGAAGATCCATCTGGTTGTCAGTAGAACTGGGCCATATTCCTTGGGAGCGAGGCGTCCAGACCACTGTTCATCCATATTTCCTGAATGATTTGCTCCCTGCGCTCAATCCTTTCCGCCAGCTCTGCAGCTTCTATGGAGCTGTAGGCTGGGTATGAAGTCTTATGAAACCCTGAGGGTTCCCCTGGAAATTCAGAGTCAGAAGAGTCCTCTCCCTCCCCATCGTCCTCACTGTCCTCCTCAGCCTGGTCACTTCCGGGCACCAGGTGCTCCTTTCCCAGCTGCAGCTCCCTGAAGTCTTTGGTGCAGGACACTCTGACAACTAAGGCACACAATGTGAGGACCAGGCCGATGCAGACGCTGGACACAAACAGCAGGGCGGCTCTCTCGGGATGGGCTGTGGGAGGAAGAGAATATGTCAGGAGCTGGAGGGAGCCTTGGTCTTTACCAGCCCAGATCCCACAAGACTAGTCCTAAACAGCACCTTTAGAACCGACACTTAACTAACCCTGTCCTCCAGTGATTAAAGTTTTTGATCCCAGTCAGTAGATGCATGCATATGACAGGACACACACAAGAGGGACGTAGGAGCCAGATCCCCCTTGGTTTAAGCTCAGACCAGTTGTGGTCTGCATCTAAAATGACCTCAAATCCTCATGCATTTGAAAGGTGATGGGCTGGGGAGGTGGTTCACTGGGGGAGTGGCCCGGAAGGGCACATCTCTCTCCCCGGCTCCTCCCTTCTTTCCCAGTCACCATGACATGAGCAGCTCTCCTCTGCTGAGGTCCTTCCACCATGCCTTCCTGCCTTGGAGTGGGTGGGAAACCTCCCCTCCTTTAAGTGGAAGGTATTAGGTATTCATCCCAACAAGAAAGTGATAACCATGAGCTAATTCCTACAAATGCTGGCACATAGTAAATGTTCAACCACATCTTAGCTATCAGTAACAGTAGCCAATTATGCAGAATTAATTTATGTATGAAGCACCTACCTGAACGTTTTTTCCCTTTGGTATTGGGAATGGAGCCCAGGCCCTCAATGCATGCTAGGCAAGTGCTCTGCCTGCATCTTGAGCACTCACCACTTTTTGTGGTCCTGGAAATAGGGCCCAGGCTGCCTCTCTAGTTCTTTTTATTTTGTGGAGAAAAGGTTTTGCTAAGTGGCCTGGGCTGGCCTCAGACTGTGATTCTTCTGCCCCAGCCTCCAAAGTAGCTGGAATTATAGGTACATACACCACTGTGCCAGGCTATATACAAATTTAAGGAATAATATTACAGACATTTATAAAGCTTTGTCCCTTCATGCGTTAGTTTAAAAGTCAATAAAAGTTCTAGTAATTTTCCTGGTATCCAAGTGGATTTTTCTATACAATAATGACAGAAATAAAAACAATGCTAATATGTATTCTATGCCTTGGCCCAACCCTCATGAAGGCTTAGTCCATACATTCATTGGTCAGGGATGGCAAGGACTATATTACCCCTTTTCTTTTATCTACTTTGTGGTTTGTACCCCTTGAGGCTGGTACATCCATTCTGGAAAATAATGATCCAGTAAGTTCCACCCTGCTTTTGTTGTTGTGCCAGGGTCTTGCCATGTAGTTCAGGCTGGCCTTGAACTCATGGTCATCCTCCTGCCCCAACCTTCGAAAAGTGCTGGGATTACACGCATGCACCACCATGCCTGGCTAATTCTTTCCTGTTATAGAACAGAAGTTGGAAATTTTCCTGGTCAATGACCAGACAGTAACTATTTTAGGCTTTATGGGCCATTTGCATTTTGTTGCAAATATTCACTCTGCTGTTGTAATGCAAAAGCAGCCAGAGATCTTATGTCATGCAGAAGGCATGGCTGCATCCCAATAAAGCTTTATTTATACATTTGGGTCATGGGCCGTACTTTGCCAGCCACAGTAGGGATGCTGCATCTGAAGGCCAGAGGAAAGCAGCTGCCTGAGCTCAATGCACAGCCAGGGGTGGAGCTCGGATCTTAAACAGTGGCTCCTCACGGGGTTCGGGGTTTACTTGGGTGCCTTCCTGCATTTTCTCAGCACATCTCTGCTGAATGGGTCCCCCTCTAGGTGCACTGTCACTCCTTTGATTCTGGGAGAATAATGGAGACCATTGTCTTTGCAATTCCTGTTCTTCCCCAGAGGTCCAGGCTGGAGTTTCAAAACTGCTAAATTCACACAAGTCAAGGCATCCTGCCGATGCAGAGGTGGAACTGGGGCACCTTATCTTCTTGTAACTGGAAACCTCCCCAGTCCACTTCCTTCCCGGGCAGCTGAAGCCATCACTGGAGTGGCCGGACTCAGGTGTGCTGCTCTTTGTTGCCAGCGTACCCGCAGGACGGTCTCCTCACTCTGCAGGACACAGACGACTGCATTCAGCATTGAGCTTGGCTAGGGACAGGACGCCAGGTTGCATTTGCAGTGCTCTTAGTAACAGTCTGACTTTCTTCAGGGTCAGGTTTGTAAAGGGACTTGGTCAAATGGAGACATGAGTCCTTTGTGAGAGAAGTAAGGGCTGTTTTCGTCTCTAGGGGTGGTGGCAGGTTGGAGAGGTGGAGATGGTGGCACTTGGGATGAGGTCATTGAATGGTGTGGTACAAAAGATGCTAAGACCTGAGGCTGTGGCCCAATAGACAGAGCTTTTCTCCTCCTCCCCTGCAGGCTAAAGCGTGCTGTCCGACTTCCCCTCACCTCCTCCTGTAGCCTGGGTGTGGTGGGAGTGTCCCTGAGTTCATGTGTTGAAATACAGTTCCTGCCGTGAGGTATTAGGAGGGTGAACCATGATCTGACTACTGCTGTTTGGAATTGGGGCTTTGAGAGATTAGGGTTAGACAAGGTCTTCAGGGTGGAGCCCCCCAGATTGGTCCTTGTGGCTCTATAAGAAAAGAAGGCAGGCACAAACTCTCACTCTCTCTCTCTCTCTCTCTCTCTCTCTCTCTCTCTCTCTCTCTCACACACACACACACACACACACACACACACACACGCATGCCCTCTGTCTCCTGCCATGTGATCATGTGATGCCCCCTGCCTGCCTTGGGACTTGGCCAGCAAAAAAGCCATGGCCAGGCCTTGATCTTGCACCTCCAGAATCTGAGCCCAAAGAAACCTACTTTCTCTGTAACTCCCTGGCTGGGGCATCGACTTATCAGCCACATAAAATGAACTAAGACAGCTCAGTTCCCTTGAAATCTCTTCCTTCCTTCTCTCTCTGCCCAGCCCTTCCCACTGGCCCGTTTCTCCAGGGCTTTGGTGCTCCCTGCCACCAACAGGTGCAGCCACAACTCAACCTCTCTGTCTTGGAAAGCATCAACCTTGCTGGTCGCAATAATGCGGCACACTGGGGATGCTGCAGAGGGAACAAAACCCCCGTCATCTGCATCCTTTTCCAGCCACTGGATTTCTAGCTTCAGGCAGAGAGAACTTCAGGCTTCTGAAGAACAAGGATCACCCGCCCTCCCCCACCCGAATGTCCAAGCAGTGGGGTGGCAGAGGATGGAGTTGGGTTTAAGTTGGCTTTGCTACAAAGTAGATTTATTTTTGCATTTCTTTAGTTATTTTTAAAAGGATAACAGGGTTAAATTACTTACAATCATGACACATTAGTTAATACAGTCTTCCTTTGTATTTTTTTGCATGATGACTTTCAGTAGACCTGTGCTATGAATAAGCTCCCTATAGGCCTGGACCATAGCCTGTGGTTCCCTATCATTGTCTTTTTCCCTGTTGGACTGGTCAGCTGGCTGCAAGGCAGGAACATCATGACAGAAGGGCCCGGAGGAGGACAGCTGCTCGCCTCATGGCATCCAGGAAGCAGGGAGAGAAGGGGAAGAGCCAGAGAAGGCAGAGCTGGAGGCAGGCTCCTCCCTCCAGTCCATGCCTCCAGTGTGGTCCCATCTTCTAACAGCACATCAGCTATTACCTCGTTAATGGACTGGCCCACTGAGGAGGACTGTGCTCCCATGAGCTAATCACCTTCCAAAAAATCCCCTCCTTTGAGGTGTATTGTGTACACTTGTAATCCCAGCATTTGGAAGACTGAGGCAGGAGACTTGCTATGAGCTTGAGGCCAGCCTGGAATACATAGTTAGACTTGTTTCAGCCTCCCCACCTTGGAAAAGCCCCATTTCTGAAGATATAGTCCTTTTGGGGGACATCCAACCTTTTTACGGCACGCATCCAACCCTGTTCCTGCCTGACTTAAAACCTATAAATTGCCTCCCTCCTCTCATGAGCTGAGAGTCAAGCCCTGAGCACAGCTGGCGATGCTGCCTATAACCCAGCCCCTGCCACCCTCCACTCCCAAGAGGCTTCTTGTCGCTCTGCTCTCTGGCACCGTCCAGGCCTCTCAGGTGTCGGAGGGTTTCCTGCCTTGGTGTTTTTGTGCCTGTTCTTCCTTCAGCCTGAATGTTCTCTCTCCTGCCTCACCTGGTCCTCCATACCTCTCCCTGCCCTAGCCCAGGGGACGGGGTCGCGGGCTGAAGCCCAGGCTTGGTGCCCTGTGAATGGGGCTCCATAGTGAGGCTCTCCTTCCCCTTCCCCAGGGAGGAGATGCCAGGCCCTGACGCCCGCACAGCTTCTCACTTCTTCCTTGCTGCCTGTGGCTCACATACACGCCTGCCACACACTTGCTCCCTAGGGCTTGCCCTTATCAATGCGCCAAGACCCAGTGGCCAAACTCGAGCACAGGCAACTCCTGGCAAGCGCATGGGAACCAGGCACCTGGATCTGTTACTCTGAAGCTGCACAACCTCTGAACAGCAGTCAGAAGGGATCTCAGAGATGAGCTGGCCCTTCCACTGTAACTGAGTCATTTGTCCAAAGCCACCATTGGTTGGGCCCCCAGGTCCAGGCTGAGGCTTCCTACATGGGCCCAGGCTTTACACACACACACACACACACACACACACACACACACACACACCCCACACTAGCTATTTCCTAGGATCCATTGGATCTCTTTTCTATTACACACTCTGAAAACAATAATGTGGTTGAATAGGTTCTTCATATCGTGTTTTTGTTGGTATTGGTCTAAATTAACCATGCCCATCACAGGCTGGGTGGAATGGCTTTCATTTTGTCATCGGTAGTTTGTTCTTGGGACCCTCAGCACAGTGACCAGTGGCCTGTAAAGCCTCTTTGAACACTTCCATCTGGTTCCTGCTCCAATGTATTCATGTGTAGGTGAGACACCCGGGAGCTGGGCAAAGGTCTCACTTCTCGGGCTCTGCTGACATCAGAAGGAGCAGGCAGCAGCTAAGGCAGGGGCCTCTAAAAGACAGCATGCAATGTGCCAGAGCCTGGTCTGCAACACTTAGGGACACGACAGTAACTTTCTGTCATCATCAAACGGAAGATGGGGGACCGTGGGAATGCATCAGAGCCCACCTACACGACAAGGCACTGCTGAGCTCCGATGGTCCTCGCTGGCAGGGGATCAGTAGCTGTGACTTTGGGAGGTGTGATTAAACTTGTATCCTGCATGGGTCTGTCTGATACACAAGAGTTACTTTGATATGAAACTGTGATGCCTCCACACCCAGGGGACACTGTGAGCCTGGCCCCTCCAGCTCTGCCTTACCTATGGCTCCAGTTACCCTGGCGAGGTCTGTCACAAGGCTAAAGGCACACACTCAACATGGTCTCGAACAGTAAGGGTGGGGACGGAAGTACTGGGCCACGAAAGGCATTGCCTGCAGGCATCGATGAGGTAAATGCACGAAACCAGATGCCAGGAAGACATAATTAGGTTGGTTACTAATTAGGAGTGGGAGGGGGTCGTGTTCTGAAGCAAGACTGCCTGAATAAATAAGTCCCCTCAGGCACAATCTGCCAGGGGACAAGGGCTCGTGCTGAGCCAGCGAGCAAGGCGCCTTCCAAAGCACACGCACACATGCACACACACACATTCTAACTTCAATTTTTTCTGTTGGGAAAATGATTTCACAGATCACTCTGACAGCCCCAGAAGAAACTGTTTATCAGGGATCCTTGGAGAGTCTCATGACCCTTCTGCCGGCCTCTGTGTTTCCTGAGCACGGGACAAGGCCTTCGACTCTGACTTCTTGTCTACTTGTCCCCGTGTGTAGCTGACCACATTAATGCATTGAAATTATTTGCAGTCTGAACTGGGGAAAGGCCTTTTGGGATTCACTCAGCTTACCAACCACTCAGCTGGGCTGGGCTGGATCCTGGCCTGGCCACGCTCTTGGTTCTTTGCTGCTCCTGTCACTGGCCTCTCCTTTAGAGGGCACCCAAGACCTCCGTCCATCCCTCAGCTCATGCGCACTGCAGGCAAGGCTGTGCCTGAGAGCTGGCGGGCACCTCCTTCCAGCAAGGCTGACTTCTGTTAGTACGCCGTTGGCATAGGCTGGATCAGGTTCGTCTGAAACCACTGCAGAGCACTGCCCTGTGCCCATAGACTGAGCACTGCATGCTGCACACCTAGAGTTGTCATGTAGGGAGTGACATGGGCAGCCTAGAGGCACTTGTTCCACCAGGATCTTTGTGAGCCTCTGTAATGACCTCATTTAGCTGACAGCCAGTACCGCAAACATAGAGCTATTTTCTTCTGAGTACTAAATCAGGTCTGGGCCTGGCTTGCTGAGACAACTGTAACTAAACATATCTCAATAAAGCCAAATAACAGTCCATCGCACCCTCGTATTTTAAAAAATGATCTAAACATAGCAAAGACTGGGTGATGAGCACAGAATGGCTCACAATATCAGTTCTGGATGCATCACCTGGCCATCTGCTAACTACGCACTGCGTTCCTCTTCTGGACCAGCAGTGCCTATACACACAGATGTGACAATAAGTGAGCAGGCACTTGCCCCAAGGAGCTTGATAGCTCGTGAGGGAGACAGGCACTCTGCAAGTCAACCTAGCCCACAGCTGCTGGGACTGTGGGAGAAAGGTCAGACAGACAGGCTGAGCAAAGCTCCTATAGGTAAAGTAACACAAGGTCTCAGCCCAGGGTGAAGCCTGGCTGGGCCGCTGTCCATGGTGCCCTCAGATAAATGGCTCTACCCTGACCCTCTGCTTCTCCAGGCAGAACGGCAGATCAGGCAGATCAGAGTCTCATCTTTCAGGGGTGTTGCTATAGAATGAATTGTGCTTACTACAATTCGTGTGCTGAAGTCTCAACCCTAACATCACTAGTATTAGACATGCAGTTTTCAGGAGTTAGTTAAGGTTAAAGGAGGTCAAAAATGAGGGGACGTAATCTGACAGGATTGGTGGCTTGGTAAGATCTCTCTGTTGTCCTGTCTCCTCCCCTCTCTGCCATGTGAGAACACAGCAAGCAGGTGGCTGTTTGCAAGCCAGGAAGGACCCTCGCCAGACACTGAATAAGTTGGCACCTGGGTCATAGGCTTGTGGACCACGACGCTTAGCTGCTTCTCTGAAAGCTGAGCCGACCAAGCAGCTGCAGTGAGGAAAGCACAGATGATTTGGAGCAAAGCACACAGCACGGTTGTGGCTCCGTAACTGATGTCATTGTCACCTCTCTTCCATTGCCATCCTCTGGAGGAATTCCAGGAAGACTTTTTGCCCAGGAGGCTCTCTGGGGTCTTTGGAAATAGGGGACATTTATGACAATAAAAATTTCTCCATTTCTTAACTTTGACACTTATCAGGAACAACAAGACATGAAGTCAGACACCAGTAACCGGACACCAGGTGACAAACCTGCAGGAGGAACACTGAAGTGGGAAGACCATGGAAGCACTGTGATGAGACGGGGCTCTCTATCCTCTGTACTGACACTTCTTTTCTGTTGGTACCAGGAATTGAACTTAGGACCTTGCGCTTTCCAGGCAGCACTTATGCTGCTGAGCTGTATCCCCAGCCCCTGGGCTGACATATTTCCTCAAGCCTTTGCCTCCCTCTGAGCAAGGCTTAGTCCAGTTTCAGCTCCACCAGGCCTGAATTAACAGTACTGCCATGCATTTTATTAACGTGTGTTGATTAAATGTCTCAGAGGTTTGACCTCTGTCCTGGCTAGCTTAGTGTCTCCCTGAGATCTCTGTAGAAATTTGGTCCCCAGGATGGTGGCAGTGGGAGATCCTTTGGACTTTTGAGAGGAGGGGCCTATTGGGAGGTCTTTAGGTCATTGGAAGTGCACCTTTAAAGGGACTGGGGGACTCTAGTATCTTCCTCTCTCTGCTCTGGTTTGAGATGTGATTGCTTACTCTGACAAGTGCTCCCACCATGATGGGCCATCAGAGTGACAGATAGGGCAAATCCAATATTATACTTGAACCTGAAGAACCATGAGCCAAAATAAACTTTCTTTATCTCATATGTGGCCTATGTGAGACAGTTAAAGGGACTGTCAATATGACTGGCTGTAGAGCTGCCCAGGGAATTAGTAAAGCATACTTCTGAGTGTCTGCATGGGTCGTGGAGCTATAGCCTTGAGTACTAAATCTGGTCCCTCAACCCTGCCTCTCTGGCCTTGTTCTCTTGTTCTGCTCCTAGCTGCCATAACCTGAGCAGCTTTGCTCTCCTGTGCCCTCCTTCCACCATGACGTTCTTGCCTTTGAACCAGCTGACTATGGGCTGAGCCTTTAGAAACCATGAACCAAATTAGATCTCTCCTCCTTTAAGTGTTGAGTGTCAGGTATTTCTCTGAGCAACAAGCAAGCTGACCAATATGCTACGTCAGATATTAAGTGGCTGAAAAGCTGACTAGTACAGTCGCCCTAAACGGGGCGGGCAGGTATTGTGCAAACTTGCAGTTGACATTCCAAAGTATGATCAATCTTCAAATAACAAGACAGTGACAAGGAAAGATTGTTTGTACCTTAACAAAGAGGACCTTCAACATGAACAGGCAAACTTTTGGCCTTGCCAGTTCATAAAGATTGAATTTGATTGATTCTCGCAGGAGAGATTAGCAGAGGAAATCCTGACAACCATGAGAAATAATACCTGTGACTCGGCTTTCATGGGGCATGACCTGGTTCATTTACTAAGCGATCTGACTCACTTTTCTTCCAGTTAGGGATGGAATTCAATAATCTTGTGCCCTTCCAAATTTTAGCCCTGGGAAATGCATTCCAGCATTTCAGCAGAGGAAAAATACCTGTGGATCCCAAGCCCTAAACAGTGTGGCTCTATGTTTGTGATTCTCTGTTAGTTGCCTTGGTGCAGCTCTGCTTGAATTTGGGCTTCTGTGTTTCTGAATCCTGGAACACAGCAGACGCTGTGTCAAATTAAAAGCCACGAGCCTTTAGTTATCTGAATGTTTCTAATAGAGTGGTGCATATGTTAATAAGGCTTTAACAAATCTGTTAGCATTTCAGGAAGCATTGATTGATTGACCTACCTCTAATGTAAGCAAACGCTGCCAGGGAGTTGCTCACAATAATTCCATCTTTCCGCAGAACCCTTGATTCGCTTGGGTCAAAGTTTACACCTGTTTTATAAGAAATGCAAAAGCAATTAATCAGGGTTGTTCAGAGTACACTTGTCCTAAGATGCCCCTGCTGTTCCTCACCCAGAGTTGTCATAATAATCAAAAGTCAAAAAAGAAATCAAACAAATGGGCCTTGGGTTAAATTATGGAAGCCTAAGCCAAGAAGAATACTTAGTGTTCTAGTGTTCCTCTAATTCCCTAGAAGAACACTGTCAGACAGGGCGAGTGTTTACAGAATGATAAAAGGTATCTGAGACTTTAAAACTGTTGATTCCAACTTCTGGTAAGGCTCATCCACTCCAGTGCAGAAAAGAATATTCACTTTCCCATCTCAAGCGCAATGGCATTCTTGAAGGAGTAATAAAGGACATCTAATTTTAACCATGGAGCTGCTGTCTGCTCTGTGGACCAGGAGATAAAACAAACCTTGAACTATGGAGGGAAGTTGTGCTAAGCTGGGGTTTTTTGGAGATGACAGAAAAATTTGGGATGATCAGCTTCCAGATGATCTGCCTGGATGAAGCTTAATAACCTGGTGGCAGGCTTTCTGGGGGCTCTGGGGACCCCTGGGAAGTCAGACAGGGCAGATGTAAAATACAGATGTCTTAGCCATTTTCTTTTAGGAAGCAAATAGGAGAATGGAGGGAAAGCTTATTCTACTTAAGATTTTAAACGACTGAAACAAAGCACATGCTAGCTACCATTTGCTGCCATTGGCTCCAACACTGCTGCCAAGGTCCCCTTTTGTTTTGTCCAGTGTGTGCTAGATGGTGGTCAGGGGCCTGTGTCCTTACTTAAAGAGAAATGCTGAGAGGAAGCTGTAAAATTTACCGTGTTTACCATCTTCCTGTGTTGAAGTAGGCTTCAGATTAGCAATGGCTGGATCAATCGCTGTGAGTATGTTCTTAGGAACTAAAAATCAAACAGAAATATTTTTAAACTTGGTACACTTTTAAAAATTGTACATTTAATATATGTCTGAGTACTTCTCTGTCATAAAGAAAAGTAAACGTGAGCCATCTATAGGAAAATAGATGTACTCTGTGGCCATAACACTAAGTGAAATAAATCACACACACACTTAAGTATCACATAGTTTCTACCATAGGAGAAGTGCCAAATATAAAGAGCAAAACGAAGGATGATAGAAAGTAGGTAGATCTTTCTAAAAGGAGAAAGGGATCAAAAGATGGAGGAGGAGGGAGGAAAGAAAAAGGGATGGGGAAAAGGAATTAAGATGGATTATGTACACATACAAATTCCCCAAAAGGAATGTAAGCATTATGCACAAAAAACACTCTAATAAGAAAATAAAATATGTTTAAGGTATAATGTTGATAATATTTAAATTAGTTAAAGAACTGCTTACTGCCTTTCAGATATACATATAAACACCACACACACACACACACACACACACACACACACACACCCATATACACTAACGGTATCTGTATGGTCCTAAAATGTCCCCACAAGGTGAAATTATAAGCCCATTTTTGCCCTAGTAAAAAGAAAATATGGGAAACAAACACAAGTTATGGTATATCCACCCAGTGGAATGCAATTAATAATAATAAAATTAAGTATTACTACATGCTAGAAGAATGAGCCTCAAAAATATTATGCTCAGTAGGAAAAGCCAGGCACACAAGACCGCACACCGTAGGCTTTCGTTTATACGAAACATCCAGCAAAAGTAAAAGCAGACACAGAAATCAGATGAGTGATTCCCTGGGACCGGAGGCAGGAAAGGGAGCCGATTGCTAATGAGCCCAAAAAGCTGTTTGAGATTGTGGAAGCATTTTGAAGTGGGCCTTTTGGCTAAGATCAAGGTTAGTAACCTGGAGTGTGGTGACGGTGGCACAGCCCTAAATGTAACGGATATCACTGCATTGCATTTAGGGTGAGTGAATAACAAGATATTGAAGTAAGCTCTCCATAAAGCTTTTCACTCATACATACATGCACTTCTCTGAGCACACAACCCTGATGCCAAGACCGTGCAATGTCCAGGAAGCAGGGAAAGCAGCCGCCAGATGACAGCGGGGGCGACACAGAGCCAAGCAAGAATCCTGAAAGACCAGGCCCCTGCCTGCTGCAGCCTGGGAGAAGGGAGAGGAAACCGAAGCCTCTTGCTGCAGAGAATTGCTTATTTATGTTTGCCGTTGAGCCCAGCTGATATATCTGGGAGAAGTGGCCACAGGAAGTAGAAGCGAAGCCAATACAAACTGGCAGTTGAACTGCACTGCTTTTTTCAAAAAGAAAAAGTAAGACGTGTTAGCAGCAAGAAAACTTCATTTCCTTTCTCAGAGTGCTTAACTAAAATGCTGGGGGGTGTTCCGTGATCAACAGTCAGAAGACATTCCTGGATTGTGAATTGTCCATCTATAGGAGGCCTTCATGGACAGTAGCCGTGAGAGTCTCTTTCTGGAAAGGTGTGTGAAGAGGCCGTGACAAATGGCCTTTGGCTGATTGCGAGTCTCACCAGGACCACGACAACACCCTGAGAGCTGAGCTGCATTACCACGGCACGCTTTCTAGCTAAATAACTTTGTTTATCTCTGGGTCCCAAGAATGATGGCCCCTAAAGACAACATGTACTCTCTCCCTGATAGCAGCGGCACGTTCTCACATCTGGCTTTTGACTCATTCTCAAAGCATGACCTGAGAAGGACTTTTGCTTTGTGCAAATGCCAGAGACTTCACATCCAAGAAAGTCAGAACTTTATGAAGGGCTTGGGGAAGAAGGGTTTTCTAGGATGATTTTTGCAGAATAACCAGCCTCTTGAGGTTACATTGCCTGTGTAGAATAGAGATCATTTATGAGGAATTTGCCCATTTATCATGGGAAAATGGCTTTGATAGTGGAAGAACCTTTTAAGATATTTAAAATAACATGTGTCAGTACAACTGCCAGGCTTTCCTAACTGGTTTAGAATGAGGAGGAGAGCTGGGGTATGATTTATCATTCCCAGAGCCTGCTTCTCTCCACTTGTGATGCATTCATGAAAACCCTCGAAGCACTCTTCGTGGGATTCCTAATATGTACCAGATCCTGTCCTGGGTAGTTTAAATGATACATTTTGCATAATCCTTCTAGTGGCCTAGTGAATATGTGTATCATTCCCTTTCCTGCAGATGGGACAAGTAAGGCCCAAAAGTGCACTGTTTTAGGAAGAAGAAAGGCTTTAACTTGGTGTGCTTTGCACCACCCCCCCCTCTATCCACTGTGCTGTGCTGTCTAACCCTGGCACATTCAGCCTTTGGGAAGTAGATCAAAGATTATTGCAGAGGATTCTAAAGATGGTAAAGTGATTCTCACTCAGGCAGTCTCTCTTGAGTCTGTGTAGCTGAATCCAAAGATGAGGATTTTAATGGACAGGCGGTTTGCTAAATTTGGGCATAGATCTCATTTGATTTTCTCATTGATTTACTGGTTGATTGGCTCAATAAACCTGTGTCAAGCCTGATTTTAGGAAAGAAACCTTTATAGATTGAACTCAGGGTTCCCAAATGATTCTATTTTTTGTTTTGTTTTGACTTGTTTTTTGAGATAGGGTCTCACTATGTAATGCAGGCTGCCTTGAACTCACTATAGAGCTCAGGCTGGCCTTGAACTCCCAGCGATCCTATTCCTTCAGCCTCCCAAGTGCTAGGATTACAGGCGTGTGCCATCACGCCCAGCCCAAATGATTCTTTACATTTGTGACAAAAATTATTTCTATATGACAGTGACCACTTGTCCTCAGCAGGTGCCCCAAAGGCAAAAGCCCCTCCGAACCCTACACCACCATCCTGGCAGCCCTCATCCTTCGGGAGGAGTTGTGAGACCCCTGGGGAGGCAGAAAGGGTATCCTCAAAATGCCTTTTCCTCCTTACATCAAAAACCAAAATCCAAACATTGCCTCTCTGACCTCAGTCTCGTAACCTTCAAGTGGACTCACTAGATGCAGCTTTCTGCAGTTCATTTTCTCCTCCTTTTTCATTTTTTTTTTTTTTTTTAGATAGGTCTCACTACGTGGCCCAGGCTGCCTTGAACTCCTGTGATCCTCCTGCCTTGGCCTCCTGAGTGCTGGAATTACAGATGTGCACTACCACACCCAGTATGCAGCTCTGTATCTTGGCCAATCCTTCATCTCAGTTTTTCTCCAGCCTAGATTCTGCCCTCCACCATTAAAATCACTCACTGGAAACTCTCTCTCCCTGCTTGGTTGTTGCTGCTGAATTTGGAGGAATGCTCTTCTTCACACCTACTCTTGGGAACTGAGCCCCACTACAGGGAACCATACAACTGGGTAGACCAGTTGTCCCTGAGAATTTGGCCCACTAGTCCCACACAGGCTTTTAACACATTCTGCGTGCCCTGAAATGCCCTCCCATCTCCAATGGTACTTCCGTCAAACTTTCTCTCCACAGGGACCCAAGCCCCTCAGCTCATACTTTTTGGATTTTTTTGAGGAGACAGAGGCCATACGATGGGCACTCCAAGAACTACCTGCGTCCATGGTCTCTTCCCTCTTGTTGCAATGAAGGATGCACCCCACTCTTGTGTCAATGATTAGTGCATCCTCTCAGCTGCCACCACACCCCATCCTTCCATCATTGTCCTCAGTATCTGTCTCTCTGCTCCGTCATGGTCAGATCCAGCCAAAGATCGTGCCTGCCAGTGCCATTCTAGTCTGAGTCATGTTTGCCTCCTGCTTTTCACCCGGCCCCTGCTTCAACCCTGCCCCAATCCACTGCCCTGCTGCATGAGCAAAATCTTTTCTGTGGCATCACAAAGATGCAGAGCATGTGGGAGCTCACACTCTTACGTGTCCATCTAGAAGCAACAGCCTCGGTCACACCTAGTCATGTGTCTATTTCTAAAATCAAGGAGGCAGAGAAACACAGGCTCCCATGCATTCAGAATCTGATTACTGGGCTCCCCCATTTGAAACCTCCCAGGGCACCCACTCTGGAGAGCCCACAGGCTCTAACCTGGTCCTGTCCGGTGCCGCCTGACATGGTTTTCCTTCCCACCAGCATTTCTCTCCGCCAATCGCACTCACCCAATCTCCAGAGCGCACCTTGAAGTTGACCCCAGAAAGGCTCAGTTTTGCGACGTTTCTCTCACCAATGCCCCAGTCTACTAAGGCTTCTCCACTGTTAGCCTCTCTTAGTATCCCACCCAGTGTTGGTACAGAACTTTTCACACTGGGTAACGGTGGATTTGTCTGGTTGTTTGATGCCCCCCTGCCCACTACTGTGTTTCTCCGAGTACTACTGAGACCTTAGCACCAGCACCGCTTCTGCTACAAAGCACGTGCCTACAATATGCTGAGTGAGGGAGAGAAAGAACCAAGCTTCAGCTGGGACATAGAGACCCTCACACACACACACACACACACCAATGCCAAGCTCACCTTCTTGATGTTAGCTAAGGAAAGCCACAGCCCTCGTTACCATGCTTGCCTCACCCTCTAGGCACATTAGATTCACCTATGGACAAGTTAAAGTCCTGCGTTCTCATCCAGCACTCAGTGGAAGCAGCCCGAAGGCACTGGATTCTCAGGGTGAACTATGGTGGCTTCTAGGGAACCTCAGCCAGATGGCAGGAAAAAAGACTGAAGTAAACTCAGTCTTCCTAGAGTGTAAGCATGGGTGGAACTCTTTTGGGAATATGTTTATGTACTCATATCTCTGTACCTATTAGTATTGATATTGCAGAGAATGAAATTTTCGGTTTAATATATAAAAGTTTGGGGAAGCAGTGGAATATTATTAGGCCATGAAAAGGAATGAAGTAGTGACACATGCTACAAAATGCATGAACCTTGAAAACATAGACTAAGAAGCTGCACACAAGAACAACGTACCAAATCAGCCTTGACAATTAGAGATCCCCAATACCAGCCCCTATCACCTGGCCTTACCTGCCTCACAGAGGAGCCCCAGAGCAAGAGAATGGTGAGATACAATGGTGTGCCAGACACTGGCCATCACCATGGGAATGGCCAGCACTTATTCTGCAGTTAGGTCTTACTTTCAGGGAAGCGCGGCTGTGATTCCACTCATAGGAAACGTGCAGAAGAAGAGCATCATAAAGACACAAAGCAGACCCCTGGGTGCCTGGGGCTGGGGAGGGCGGCCTGGGTGGGGTGGGAGGATGCTGAAGAAAGGTGAGAGTATTCTCAAATGGACAGCGGGTGACAGCCACGTAATTCCATGAATATATTGAAAACTATTGATTTGTGTCTTTTAATGGGTGAATTGTGTGGTCTGTGAATTATATCTCAATAAAGCTGTAACTGCAACAAAAGGCTAGAGATATTTGGCAGGGTAAAAGGGATCAAGTTCTCCATCGATAGAGCTCTTTTTTCCTTTTTGCTTCTATGCTCATTTAGGGAGAAACAGTCAGAGTATTAGGATTACAAACTGCACATCCACAGCGTCTCAGAAAATGATCAACCGCTGATTTGCTTTCATATACCTCTGTGAAAGCAGAAGCTAAACAGAGGGGGCATTTCATTTTATACTAAAAGACATCAGAAAAACAAAGGAATGCTGCCATGTAACATTTTTAATTAGGGGAAGCATTTGATCTGTTGACTCAATGCTGTGGGTATGTAGATAAAACAGCTGTTGGCAGCATAGCAAGTTAGTCATTTAGAGCCTAAAAGCAGGGCTGGGAGGTTAAATAGAAACCAAACAATACTTCTGTGAACTTGCATGACACACCAATAAATTTCAGAGCTCCTTAAGAACCCAGATTAGAATCGCGGTTCTCAGCGACATCAGCTTCATCCCTAGCTGCTCATTCTTTCCCTGCTCTTCCTACCTGCTGCCCATCTGATTGCTAGCAGCTCTGAAAAACAAATTTTCACCACAGAAAATTCTGTTGCTTATCTGATGTGTACATCATACATAGGAATAAAGGGTAGACAAGGGGATCCGGAGAGTCTGGATGGCCGTGAGCTCTGGGCGTGGAGTTGCTTGGCTTGTTGCAGCAAACTCCTTCTGTCCACTTGCCGGCCTCTTCCCCGAGGGCCGGTGCTGCGAGGAGCCCCTCAGCGTCGGCTCTTACCACACGCGTAGGTAACAGTGAGGTATTTTTTCACTCCTGGCAGGCAGGGGCTTCCAAAGTGGTAATTGTTGACAAGGACTTTGCATCTCTGCTTCCCATAGCACCTTCTGGACAGTACTTGTAAAGCTGAGTAAGACAAGCAGTCTGGAAGGGAAAGAGCAATGAGAATTTCAGGTAGTGTCCTGCACGTGGCTGCCGCGTGCCTCACGGTGGCTTTGTAAGCGGCTACAGGTGGATGTCAAGTCAAAGATGGTTCAGCTCTGCTTATTTCCTGTCTCACAACAGCACCAAAGATAGACAGTACCAGGTTCATGGTCAGGGACCACAAAGCTCAGAGCTTAGTTTAATTTTCTGCTTGCACTTTCTTGAAATTATGATATATTTTTTTTCTAGAAAGTTCTCTTTAATGTCTTCACTAGGTAAATAACATTTACACAAAAGAGCACCCCAAGTTTTTACCCAAGTAAAATGTACAGAGGTACATCAACTATTCTAACTCATCAAATTCTAACATCAAATATCTGCATAGAAAAAAAAATCACCTTAATTTTTTTTCAAGTGTAACTATTCCTCTTTAAATAATTTCATTTCTATACTGGACAAAACACAAACACGTGTGTTTGTGCAAATTATCTTCAAGAACACAGTATGACTTAGAAGTAATCAATTACTTCTACATCATAAGAGCGCATTTCCCTGATCATTCTGCGTTAGCCGTTGTTTAGTTCAACGAACACAGTGCACACATACAGGAGACACAAGCCAGCACTTCTGCCTCAAACAGGAATACAGTATTAGGTTATGAAAGCAACTGAGTTCTAGGGACTCCGGTAAAGATAATGAACATTAATGTAATTCAAGACAATATCTGCGGGGCTTACCATTTCCCTTTACACGTTAAGTTTTACAAGACACCTTAGGTGACTTGGAGAAATAACAAGAAATAGACAAAACTGGTTTCACTTTCCCTCTCACACATACAACATGAACACCATGCAATAATTAAAAACTAATTTTTTATAAATCCAGCCAACAACTTCTTTCAAAAGGCAACGTGTAATGTTTGCTTTGAGATCCCCAAAATTGTTTTCATACTACCATAATTGAGACAAACCAAGTAATGATATATGCAGGGCAATTAAGATATTTCAGAGGAAACCCACTGCTTAGGAATACCCTGCGTTACAAGCTAACATGTACGTCGCCCTTGTATTACCAACTGCTAATTCTATTTATATTCATGACAAGTGTAACATTTGCCAATTACAAATCTATAGATTTACTTGTTGATAGTAATTGAGCCTCTTCAATAGAATTTTCTGGAGAACCTTTGTATCAAGTGCTTTCCTTTTCTGATGGTTTCCTAAGGCCCCTGTCTTTCATCTCAGAGAAAACCCCGTATCATTCTTTACAATAGATGTTAATATATCACGAGTGGTCAGGTCTCCCAGGGGAACCTTAACTTGACCATCAGATATCACTTCCTGCTTATAGACTTCGGCAGACACGAGAGAAGCATCCACAGAATCTGGGTGTCTCTTGGTCTTTATAGACTTTTGTTCTGTAGGGCCTAATTTGGTACATGACATAGTGGATTCTTTTGATGCATTTTCTGTACAAGAGATAAGAGTGTTGTCACAGCTCACAGATTCAACCAGAGAAAGGGCAGCGTCACCAAGATATGTCAACTTCTGCCTTACGGGTTGTCTGTGGCGATTTTCCCACAGAGAATGAATTCCTCCAGCGGACTGGCAGACAGGAGTACCCTGACCCTTCAGAGGAGATTCTGTTTTTGTTCTGTTTGACTCATTTGAAGAAAGCTGATTAAACCACTATATGGGACCCGCAGCCTTGCTATGCTGGTCACGTGTGCACTTTCCGAAGCCGTTTTATTGCACGCGTCCACCAGTGACTGCTGTTTAGCAGCTCTCCTGGCAGAGGTTTTGTCGAGTGTGTTACATTCCGCGGACTCTGCTGAGAGGAAGAGAGAATTCAGCCTCCTGGGCCCTAGGGGCTGCAGATTTCACTACATTCTCTTCAAACCTATTCTCATTCTCATTTGACCGACCATTCAGTTTATCTTTTAGGCACTGCACTTCCTTAATTTGTTCACCAATAGGGAATTTTATTTTATTTTATTTTTGGAGCGGTACAGGTAATCAAACTCACAACCTCACATATAGCTAAATCCCCGGCACCTCAATAGGGAATTCTGATTTGCTGTACTATACTATCTTTTCATATATCTGAATGAATGCCTTGTGATAGCCCACCTTCATCTGAGTAACATTTTATAGTTGTTTTCTCCACCAAACTATTGAGGTTGATATGGCATCAAGTCTCTTCCTGAAAAACAACTTTTGTCTTTAACAGCATGGTTTTGTACTTTCCTCTGATTCTCTGATGGTGAAATCATTAGTTTCAGGGTAGATTCTCCTTTGACCTGTATTCCCCATACAATGTTTCATTTACTTTCTCTTTTTGCGCATTAGTTATGGATGATTGCCTGTGATTTATCAATGTATGAAGATTATTTCCACATGCAGAAAAAGCTTTCTGACTCTTTACCGAAGTCTCTGTGGTCAGGTATCTTTCATCCCGCTAAGAGAGCTTCCCGTTACACTGCTATTAGTTTTGCTGTGGGAAGCAGAAGAGGTGAGCTCACAAAATACAGCAGCTGACTTTTCAGGCTGTCATTTGGGCTCCCATGAAAAGCTTGGCACCTCAGGAGTTCCCATTCTTGGAGAAGCTTCTTGAAAACCTGAATGGCTAAGGCTGTCCAAGTCATCCAGACTCCTTCCCTCTAGTCACCATGGAGTTACTAAATTTTGCTCAGATTTACAGATCATCACTGAACCTTTTTTTGGTAATCTTTTGTCAATATCTGGGCTGAAAAGCAGACCTGTTTTTACAGATTCAATTCTATGTTAAAACTTCCTTGATTTGATGTTGGAACTTAGGACACTGGGAAGCTAAGCAATCACCTCCCCTCCCTGGTAAGCAGCGGTGGTGTGGCAGACTGCGGCCCTTCCAGGGAGAACCACCAGCAGCTCCTGAGATCCATGCCATGTTGGAACTTACGAAGCTGGGAAACCAAGCAACCAGCTTGCCTCCCTGCTAAGCAATAGTGAACCTATCAGTGCACGGCCTAGAGTCAAACATCCCACTTCCTCTACCCACCTTATCTTGTCCCCTCGTTAGCAAATGGGAACCAGAAATCTGAGCATCTCCTGGGAGGTTGACCATAGCAAATAAGGAGGATTTCCTTCTACCATCTCTTTGAAGGCAAATATTTTTATTACTGTTTTGCTCTATTCTGATTAATGGTACTGCTCTATTCAATATTCTGTTTTGATATGTTCTATAATGTCCTGTATTTCATTTTATTTTGATATACGTGATTGAAAGAACAACTATTGGATAATGAAATATACTATGATACCTATTACTGTTAAAAAATAAATAAAATTTTCTTGATTTGCAAGTCTCTGACCAACATTTTCATATCTATTGATACTAGAACATCCATTCGTGTCTCTGTTTTTCCCCAGACTAAACTTCAAATGAAGAGACCTTCGAACCTTTTCACTATAACCAACTTTGGGCGAGAAGCAGCCTGCTTTTCTTGATCCCACCCTGCAAGCTTTTTTGTCCGCAATTCTTTTACTTCGTCTTAGCACAGCTGCACTGACCAGCTGGTTTCCCTGATGGTGACAGGAGAGAGTGAACACTGACATGACCCTTCTGTGAACCAAAACTGGTGCTCAACTGCTACTTAACACATTGCTTGGCGACGGCTCAAATTAAAATTGTGCTTGTTGGTCTTCCTCTTCTTGCTTGAGAGGCCGGGAGAAGAATCCACTGGCAGTTTGTGATTAGCATTTGGTGTAAGAATTACTGGGGATACGGATAGCTGGGCAGTTCATCCAGGTCAGGTGTAATAGGGGGAGTCCAGTTAGAATTAAGTTGATTTAGTGCTCCATTAACAAAATCTGTGGCACTGTCTTTGCTTTGTCTTACACTCTTCGGAGGTTTCATGTTTACCTTCTTCAAAGCCCTCCAATGATGGAAGCTGGTATCTTTTCCAGGATAAAATCTCATACTTGCCCAATATCTGAGGCAAGATCTCTAAGAGTCTGTACTCCCACAGCCTGTCACTGCAGCTTAATTTTTTTCTGTGTTTTCAGGCCCTTCACTCGTCTGAGGAAGACTTGGTGCAAATATTATTGCAAGATTGCTGCTATCCATGTTATTCTTCCTGGACCTGAGAGAAACATTCCCCAGAAAGTTAATGAAATGTCTCTCTACATCAACTGTATGACCAGCCACAAGGCAGGAAGGTAGCAAGGGACTGTGCTCTCCTCCCATCCTAACTATTGAGCTTTGAAGTGTTTTATGCAAATCAGCTGGGAGAATGGGTCTGGCACATTGTTAAAGAACTGCTTAAGAAGCATCACAAGGAGGTGTAGAAGCTACCTTCACCAGTGTCCAGTTTATTCTTCAGTGCCTGAAGGTAACAGATTCTGATTTCCTAAAAGCCCTTCGCTTTGAATATGCTCCTCGGCGGATGTGTGAGCATCCACAAGAGAGGCTGGATCGCGCCTGTGCTCCCTATTCCCTGGCCGCTGATTCACGTTTCCTGCCATAGCACGGCCCAGGCCACTCTTGCTGACCTTAATGACAGAGATGACTCTGATCCCATGTCCCGCATGTGTCATCCTCTCTCAGGGCAAGATCCGGGCCAGCCACCAAGCCTTCTAATTTCCTGACACTCTCACGTTAGAGCTCTGCCCAGGGCTGGCACTGCTGCAGCTGGGCCCCAGCTGAGTCCATGGCTTTACTGGGACATCTGTGCACTGCCACACACCCTCTGCTCTTGAGTCTGGGGTCCAGCCACGTCTCACTCCTTCACCTACACCGACCTTCTTTTTCTCACCTGATCCCTTCAGTTCCTCTCTGATTCCTCTCAGGACCTTGCACGGATGCCCGCTGCCAGCCTCTAACCACTTCTGACCATTTCCAGTGACTCCTTCCCTTCAACCTCACACCTTCAGACCTGCTCCTGCTTGCTCTGAAATGAAGAGAAGACCCCTGCTTCATCCTTCCAAGCTTGGTGGGCGCAGCTTGGTAGGTGCTCTCACTCG